TTGCCTTTACAATTTTATTAACTTAAGTAATCAGTATTTATAAAAAAAAAAAAAAAAATAAAAAGAATTATCAGAAATGATAATTCTGTCTGATAAGAAAATATTTAGATGATATTTAATCATAGAAGATTTTTTTCTCGTAATAGTTCATCTCTATTATGAATTTTTTCTTCTAAAGTAAAAAGATTGAAACTTTTTTATTGCGATTTATTCTAAAACCGTACCTTCTCCTTCAAAGCTCTCATTAAGCACATCTTGGACGGCCTCCTCGCTGGCTTCCAAGGTGTGCTCGCGCCAAGTCTCTCCATTATCTGATCGGAGTATAACTATTTCTCGTTCTTTTCCTCGCAACGAAGCAAAGTGTGGTACTTCTATGATCACGGGTCTGAATGAAAGAGATTAAAAAAGTTGTTACTTATTATTAACAAGAAAGTTGACTTGAAACTTATAAGAATATACAAATTTCTCAATACTTATTAAACAACTATTAAACAAATTCAATCTCAGAAAACGGAAAAAACTGAATTAAATCGAGATTTAAGTTTCTCAGCGTATGAATATTACGTATGCACAATAAGAATTGTTCGAGCGAATACAATAGCGGACCAATTCAGGTCAGCAAAGATTATCTAAATCTCTTTGTTACATGCCAATGTTACATTTTACGATGAATCAGAATATTCTAATTTCTAAACTTAAGATTAATCTCGAGATATTATAAAAATCAAAGTTGAAAATAACCATTTTACCATTCTATCAACAACTTTAAACGTTCGATTTTCCTCGAAAATCGTGTCATCGTTTTGATAAACTGCCAACATTTGTTCCCTTCAAATTATCAAATCAATTAGCTTACATTCTTTTCCATACAAAATAAACATCTATTCCTATTATTCTTAATTAAAATTCAATTGATTAAAATATTTTCGTCCTCCAAGACTTTAAACAAATATCGATATAATTACGAATTGAATTTTCTATCCATTTGATATTATATACGCAAAAATGCGAATCATCTGAAAAATCTAATCTAATCAATTCAAGGTACGAGAAAAGATCTCTACGTTATTTGTACTATTAACGCAATTCCGCTTCCACAAATAAATAATAATAATACTCGTATTTCGAACGTACCCTAAAAATTTGGCGCCCACGGGTCCTAACTCCAGGATACGACTCGCAAGAGCCTCCCCTTCCATCAAAGGCGGCGGGTTCGTCAATTTGTCCCTTCTCAGGTATCTGCATGTGACGCGCATAGGCATCGCTGCTTTCCTAGGAGGAACGATCACGCGCACACCACTGTGCCTGCATCCGCGCATCGCACCGCCTCGCGCATCCACCAGAAACGAAACCAGGAAGCTGTCGTTTACACAATTAAAAGCACGCATTATAGACAAAATTCGGGATAACTTTCTCGAGGAAAGGTATCGCGTATCGTCTTGTTACGAGAGAGAGAGAGAGAGAGAGAGAGAGAGAGACTTAAAATTAATAAGAGCAATGGGTGGCTAATTATTATGGACACGTAATCATAAAATCATTGTTCAAAAAAACTATTATACATATTACATATACGCATATATTGTGCGAACATTTTGGCCTGTCGAGAAATAATACGAATCATGCTGTATCGCTATTGGTCCAAATTAAACCAATTACGTAATTATGTAATGTAAACCAATTAAAAAAAGAAAAAAAATATTTTTACTAAATGTACAAATATATACGTCATATTATTTACACTAATCTGTAAAATTACTTATTTTTAGAGAAAGAGGTTTTAATTTTAAGACGGTTTTTTTCCCGTCTTGTACAATTTTATATATATACATTACGAAAAAAAAAAAAAAAAAAAAAAAAGAACACGAGAGTGATAGAGATAATATTAATTTAAAAGTGATACAATTTTTAATTTGTAAAAAGATGTTGTACGTGATTCTCGTTTTTTGATTTAATAAAGTAGTAAAAATATTTTGAAAGGCCAATTAAAAACAGATGTCTGAGTTATCATATATAAGTATCATAAAAGCACGCCAAGCCGAGAAGCAACGTTCACGATAATAAATAATTTTTACTAGAAGCATTAAAGTTAAGGAGTACAGAGAAATTATTCTTCGAGATTATCGGATTATTCTGAAGGCGAACTTTATATATATTCACGATGGTGTTAAATGTTTTAATTTTTTTTTTTTTTTTTTTTTTTTTTTCGTAAGGAAAAGAATACAAAATATGATTTATCGCTGCGTATGAGGTATAACTGTAAAAAAAAAAAATTAAATTAAATTAATCACAAGACAATAAAGTGCAAAGATAAATTGCATGAAAAATGGAGCAAATTAAATTTTAAATAGAGATAACTATAACTGAATAGTATGGGTTGTGAGCATGTGTCGGGGAATTTGTTGCATGAATATTCCGTGCCTGCAAGCGTAACGCTAATTAACATCGAACGATTTATTAAAGAACGTACTATTTAAAAAGAAAAAAAAAAAAAAAAAGGAAAAAAAAGAATCATCAAACAAGAATTGGTCGAATTAAAATTCAAAGATTCATTCGTTGCTCCCTGTATTGCTGATCGATGATTGGTGCTGGTGGAGACACATAGTTTCACGATGAATTATTGAGAATTATTCACAGAGATGCTGCATCACAATATCGTGCACAGTGAATATATAAACGTTGATTTGTCATAAAATAATTACAGGCAACGTCTTACGTTTCATTTATATTCGTTTAATTGCCACGAATAAAATTATTATACACGTAATGAAAAACGCCTTCGCGTTCTTTTGAAACCACGCTCTTTTTCTCCCGGTTACATTTACAAATAGTCTAAAAATATCGATATCGTATATAAATTCCTTGAAGGAAGGCTGTTTGTTCAAGTGAGATGATGTAATGGAAGGATTTACATATAACGCGTTTTTGGAATAATTTATAAGCTGTGCAAATTACGATAATTTAATAACTCAAACGACGTATACTTATAAATCGAAATAAAAAAAAAAAAAAAAAAAAAAAGGAAATAAATACGCATTATTCAAATTTATATAAGCGTTCAGACGTTTTTTTTCTTCGATATTTTTCTTTTTTTTTTTTTTTAGTTAACATAATATTCATTGTGCACCACAATTTTCTTGTCTAATAATAAAAGTTGAGCGACTACGGGTATTGTGCGATCATAAAATCTATCAAAAAAAAAAAAAAAAAAAAAAAAACAAATGATATCGAAGAGCGGTATGGCAAGTAGCAGAAGCTAAGATTCAAGAGAAGATCACTTACTTTCTCCACTGTGGAATTCTGCGAGTAGCGCAAATAAAATAACAGAGAGGATCGGGAACAAAATAAAAAAACGCGTTAGTATCCATTCGTTCCATATAAATGGTGGTGAGAGATGACGATATAGATGGAGTCGAGATTCTGAACTAGCGCAACTTTTACAGATTTTCGAACATTTGTGATATTTGTTTTTTTTTTCTTTTTTCTTTTTTTTTTCTTTTTTTTTTTCCTTCTTCCAAGCATCGATCTTGATTTGAAAACGTTATTATTGATGATGATTGTTTCTCATTCCGATTGTCGAAAACCCGCAATCATCACACGCAAACCACTTCTCTATTATACAAAAAAAGTACAAAAAATGGGGAAATGTAACAGTAATAATTATGTATTATAGTGGAGACGGAACGAGGTCACATCATTCACACTCTGCGAAAAAAAGATATACGTTAGGGTGGCAACGTAAAATTTTTGATTGTTCCGAAATCTGCAATTATATATCTTACACAATTCTCAATGATCTTTTATTTGCAAGTAATTTTTGTTATCGTTATACTTGTCGTTTGAAGGATATAATTGACAGATTTCGTTACATGTGCAAAAAATAGCTCAAACTTGTCCATATAGGAAGAAGATGGAACAATGACGAGCAGCAGCCATTATTATATGATGAAAATGTGTGTCCAAGTTGATTAAACTAGATACATCATTAAACGAAAGGACGAACGATTCTTTCTTTTAATTTACAGAATTAATTTAAGAGCTTCTTTACATCGAAGTATTCCATCTATATATATGCATATCACATTTTGTCTAATTATTTTCCAATCTACATAATCTACGATCTTCTTAATTATATTATTATATTACGTAAATTTTTCTCATCGAATTTATGAATCCATTAGTGAATATTATATAATAATCGATTAAAATATCAGCGTGTCGTGATATCGTGTATGATATAAGAATGTACAAGAATAAATTTGTCTCTCTATCTAATTCGAATAAATCGAACAAATATTCGATATTACATATTTGAATAATTTCATCGTATTAAATATAGAAAGATACGAGATTTCTAATGATTTATTCGAGGAATAAAATTATATAATACTACGATCTATAATCTAACTCTATAGATAAATGAAAAGATGTAATAAAAAAAAAAAAAAGGGAAAATAATAAAAAAGGGGTTGGTGTACCTGTCCCTCCACATTCCTTGTCCTTTCGACATGGTACCAAGAGCTGCCAGCGATGTGTTTAAGGACTCTAGGGACGGTCTGATCTCAGAACAAAATCTGGTATGATTATAGGATAAGAAATTTGTTTCATGCGCATGCTATATATGTTTTCTTTCTTTCTTTCTTTTTTTCTTTCTTTCTTTCTTTCTTTTGCCGTGCATTTTGCACTTTCCTCCGCTGTTTGTTTTTAGGAAGTCAATGTGCACTTGGGAAGGGAAGAAAAAAAAATCATTCTACATATCCAGAAACAAGTGCGTGCAAAGATATTGTGCGCTCTTGTACGTGGTTAAGATATAAGGAAGACATTCTATATAGATCACACTGAAGGTATATATACTCGATAGGAAGTAGAGTCGTTATATGGACAAAACGTCATTTGTCCGATATATAATAAGTATCCTGTCCTACTAAGCGCTAAGAAAAGATTCATTGTCGATTCAAGATACAACAGTGTCATTGTATATGTTGTATATATATATATATATATATATATATACATACATATAAAAGAGTTTTTTCATTTCTCGAACGGAGTAACAAGATAATAATTTTCAAACTCGTGCTCAATCAAAATGATCTGTAAATTACTCGAGCAAAAAAAAAAAAAAGAAGAAAAATTAGTCAATTTTATAACATAAGACATATTTGAAATTTATGATACGTATTTCCTTCGCGCTTAGTAGGATCATTATACCACCAAGTTCGCCTCGGTATTATTACTCGATCGATCGTAAGAGTTCGAGGTTACGACAATCTGGTCCGGTATTAGTAAGGAACACGGTGTTCAATTAGAATTGCTAGACACTAATCAAAGAATCGTTCATCCCAAAGAGATATTTCAAGAACAACATGCTTTAATAACTAGAGATAATCTAGTTCTATCGCTACGAGCAAGACAAAGAAGAAATTGTAAACGAGGGCACCAAAGCGGTTGGCTCTTGTTGTTTAGCTTGTTGGCTGATTATATAAATTGTTAAACTGAACATTTTGAATAGAATAGAATTATAAGAAAATAAAGGTATTAAAAAAAAAAAAAAAAAAGAAAAAAGAAAAAAGATAGCTCGTTGTGAGAGGTTATTATGATGGCGTCAGAGTAAAGACCGATTTAGTTACTCGGTTTTATTCTCTCTCGGTTGGCTCCATATCTAACGTTCCATCGCGTACTCCTAGCTGTGACAGTTACGCTGTTATGTTTTCATTATGCGTGCGATTATGTAACAGTGAATATATGTCAATTATTACGTATACGACCCATAAGAACCGTTATATCTTCTGCTCAGTGGAACGGTTATCACGTGTATGCGCGTGATACGTAGTAATATTTGCGGTAAGAAAGAAATGAAAAAGAAGTTAGTTTTAATCTTCGCTTCCTCAAATGTGAGTCAATTGAGTTAGTAAGTGAAACAATTTTTTCGCTCGTTTATGAAGCCAACTAAAAAAAAAAAAAAAAAAAGAAGAAAAAAAAATTGATTCGAGACTTTTTTTTTTTTTTTTTTTTTTTTTTTGTGAGAATAGAAGGTCCAAGCTCTGCTTTATGCAGCTCGTACGGATTATCAACACGATCCTGTAAATTACGTTTTATTGTTATACCAGCCAATAATCTATTAGGGTTAATTAGAGCAAGGAATATCTTTCACCAATGCACACCGTATCACACTATAATACACAATATTATTGTTTCCGTTTACGTACGCCACTTGCTTGCGTACTATTACGTTTTTTTTATGTACAATTTTCAACCGCAAATTAAGATTACAAGAAACGTTATTATTTGTTTATTATATGCGCGTATGCGTATAAATATAGTTGTGAAAACTTTTTTTCTTTTTCCAATTCAACGAGATAAAAATATTTTATATTTTCAAAGAAATGTATTTTTATGCATTATGTAGTTTTGTATACAATTACGTATACTATCGTGTCACGTCGACTTCAAAGAAGAACGTGTATTTATATAATTTAATGACACGAAGCTTGTGCGTGTAATAATCTTGAAAATATCGAAATTTGTGGTAATAAATGCCAAATGTCCATAAAAACGAGCTATTTTTACAAGCTTAAAGAGAGATTCGAAGATAGAATATATACGTTTCAAATAGAATTTCGACTACAGCTTCAAGTTTTAATCCGAGGAAATATTAATCTGTACATATTGTTTTCTATTTCATTCTTAGTCTTATTTATACGTTGCGCTATTATTAAAATATTATTAAAACAAACCATGCAAATATAGAGATCATTTTTTTTTTTTTTGTAATTTTCTTGTTTACGATAATTTAGTTAGTTTTTTTTTTCCTTCAATTTGTCGTGCATATATATGTATAATTTGCAAACAATTTTCAAATTTATCGGATAACGATGCAAATTTTCAATTTCAACGAAGAACGAAAAGCAAGGAATGCCAATTTGACGATAGTCGAAGAAAATTTGGAAAATTTGATATATTTTAAAATACATACATATTATGTTGCAAACAAATTTGTTTCGTTTTTTTTTCTTTTTTTTTGCTTGATAAAATACTTCGTAAAATGCATTCGATATTTTATAAATATATTTGCAAATATGGGGTAAGTTGTATAATACTCGCTAAAATTTTAAGAGACTTTTTAAGAAATTTCGTGAAAAACGCTTTACATATATACATACAGTGTGCGCGTGTCGAGCATTATTGTACAATTATAAATTAATAAGTAAATACAACCTACCCTAAATTGTACAATTTTGTTTTCACTACCGTTATGTTCACAGAATTCACAAGAAAACGAATAAACGAATACGTACCCGACGTGAACTGGGTGCCTATTGATATCAACATTGTCCGGTTTCAGATTAGCGGCATTTGTACGCTGACAAGTTTCCTTCGTGATCATCTCGGTTATCGTGGGTGCTAGGAAATTGAAATTTTATATCATTTTAAATTAAACTCAAGTATCTTTTCAGCTAAAATTTTTACACGTACAACGAAAATCGAAGATACATTTCCACGATACGAAGATGGCGCGAAGCTTTCAACCTCTGTCTTTCTATAAACGACACGTGCAATCGACCGTCTTTTCTTCTGAACCAAGAATTCAATTTACGACCCTCCATCGTCTCGAACGAATCTTTCGTTATACCCCGTTGAAGTTTACAATGGATAAAAAAAAAAAAAAAAAAAGAAAAAAGAAAGAAATACTGCACTCCTAGTCGAAAGAGAATCGAGCTCAACTTCGATCGGAAATCCAATTGTTCCAATATAATCTAAGAGAGAGAGAGAGAGAAAAAGCTTTGAAACGCAATCTTCCATCGACTTACCTCCGGAATGCCGATTATCCCTCTCGTCGTCCGTCACGTTGACGCGCATCGAGTCATCCCCCATAGATTTCATGTCGTCAACAGTCATGTATCGATATTGCTGTTGGTCGCTGAGCATCGGATCTTCACCTGTGACGTGAACGCAACGTGAATTAATGATACAATTCGTTACAAGGGAAACGGCCACTTTGCGTGTTCGCAAGAGGGTCCAAAAAAGAAAGGGGGGTTGGGGGGGAGAGAGAGTGAGGGGAGTCGTGAAGATCTCTCTAGCGCACACTCACGTCTTGAATTCTTGCATGAAAAAACAATATATATGGGGGTAGAAATCGTGGTCGAAGAGTAAGTACGCACCAAGAGTGAGTGAATGAATATAATAATGAGGCTGCAAATAAAGTGGAAAAAATCATTGCCATTTGAAAATTATCCCAAAAGCTCAAAGAAGCGTAAATTAAGTATCGTGTCGTTATGTATATACTCATCGGTCAAAGTTTTTATTCTGGCCTTACTCGTACCCTTATTAAACAAACGAATAACAAATCTGCACACGAGAATCTGCTGCAAAGAATGACTGTGAAAGAAATTTATATATATATACTCGTGCGAAACACGTGAATCGGAAAAAAGTGACAGATATTAAGAACTTGATGATTCTTACGTTTTTTATAGGAAATATATTCTTTCGAATCGAAAGAGAACTTTTTACAGATATACCAATTATCGTAATTATCAATTATGGAGAAATGCAAACAAAATATAAACAAATATTTGAGTAATCGTGTACGATGTCGATTATCGATATAAAAATACGATAAAAATATCTCGTGATCGATTTTTTTTTATCGTATTATTTGCTCATACACATCCCATGTGCACGATTCACAAGAGAAGCGCACGATTCATTGAGAATCGATGACGAAAGCGTTGAACGTATACTGCTCGTCGTAACATAATAAATATCTACCTTTTTTTTTCTTTTTTTAGACGCTACACAGTCTATCGTAAACGCTAATAAATGTGCGGTTTAAAAATATAATTTTTAAACCGCGAACGAGCTTTCGAAGTTCTTTGAAAACTGGTAACGGGTAAAAAAAACTAACACGCGTAGAAACACGGGTATCGTATTTTTCACAAGACTGAGATCTACTCCGTTATCCGATCACCTTATACAACTTTAAACACGCCTTATCAGATATGCCAAGAATATGGAGCACAATTATCTAATAAATGGTCAGCATTACAAAATTTTACGGCCCACACGCGTACAATAACGCCACTATAAAACTGAACTAATCTCTGACGCGAACCAAATTGTACATCATTTCCCTACACCGTCCTAGGAATGTACTGTTGTTGTCAGCTTCGAAAATAAATCTTCAACAAAGCTCGAATATATTGCGACACGATAATATAGGCGAGGATCGTACGGCGTGCGCGGTAGAACGAAAAATAATGTAACTCTGGCGAGACAGCGGCGGCGACGACAACAACGTTTCGTTTCTCTCTTTTATCCGAATTACGATACGAAGAGGCCAATCTCGCCTCTTCCGCTCTTGCGACCACGTTTTAACGAATAAAGAGACGTGCACACGCGTGGAAAACTTCGAACGCGTGTAACCTTCGTTCGAGATCGATTTGAAACCAGTTTCAATTTTCGAGCGTCGATAGCGTGCGTAGCGTTTTCGAAATCGATAACAACCGACTCGACTCGAATCCTGTATCCCAAGAGAAAGCTAGAGGATCGCGACACGTTTACGGCGGTGTGTAAACCGCTTAAGTCGGCACGGGATGGAAATGATGTCACTCGTTATCTCGAGAGAGCTCGAGAAAGAGATGGACAGAGAGATGGCGATGGTGGTGGGAATCGATAATATCTAAAATTAATAAGAAACACGAGGCGACTTGGTCCGCGCGGTGAAGGCGCACATGGAGAAACCGCGCGTACCGCGAAAACTCTAATTTTAGGCGGTGTTCAAGGACACGTTCGATGGGGAACGGATTCTAAGCTTCTCGGCCGCTTCTAAGCTTCCATCTACGAATAGTTGACCTCATAGGCAGTGACCTATATCTTGGCCGAATACACGCGCGCCTGTGAAAACTGAACCAAGTAATCGCGTCGAATCTCGTTGAATGCAGTTAGTAGTAGCGTCATAGACGAGAATAGAGACTAATCATGATCAACGAGACGCTCAGCCTTTGTGTCACGTTGCATCGAACGCGTTAATCGAATTCCCGTTTCCACGTATCTCGCCTCGCCGCGCGTTAAAAATCGCCACCAAAATCGAAAATAGATTTCCGCTACGAGAAACCGAAATCAAACCTTTTCGAACGCCAAAACTTTCGCGCCAACTTGCCGATAGAGGGATTTCCGACAGCTCCACGCTGTCGCGCCATGCCCCTCCCTCGACTTCGAACGCCAATCGCGATAAACGTTTATCGCGTTGCAACGTAGAGGTAGAGATATCGATACACGAGTATCGAACGGCCTGTTCCGTTTCGAAAGGAAGAAATCGAAGTTCGCAAGTTGAGAGGAAGGAATATACGAAAATACGGTAATAAATCCTTCTTCCTTCCCCTTCCCCCCTTTTCGAGGCGCAGGAAACTGGCTGACCTTGATCGTCGTCGCCTCTACTCCGACCCGCGTTCCACGATACATCATGGTGCGCGACTTATGTCACCGTCTCATTGTTATGTCATAACCGAGGATCGTGGTCACGTTTCTCGTGCCGCTCAATTAAGCTCGCCAGCCTTTAACACACCTTCCATACGCGTATACGTTCCTCTCCTACATTAATTTTCGCACGTATACGGCCACCCGTATTCGGTCACCGTTCGATTCCATCGTTCGATACAATACAATCGTTTCGAAGCCTTCGATCCGTCGATCACGTCGCCGATACCGATCCGCTTCCTGCGAGTCGAGCAACTTCTCCTCGAGCAACGGATATCATAATAATCGTAGCGGATATTAAACTCGTGGTCGAACGGAGCGACGAGTTTGTCGCGCGATACAACATTTCCTCCGCCTCGATTTTTTTTTAAATATTCGAGGTGTGCGATCGTTCGATCGTCGACCGGATGTATACAGGGCGGGAAATATCCGCGTAAATATCGAGTCTAATTTTGGTCACGGTATTCAGGTTTACGAGGCGAAAAAAGAGATGGAAATTTATCGAACTACCGGTGTCGTTACTTGTTCGCGCGGTCCATCCGCGTTGGTCCGTTCACCATTATCTT